AATAAAATTGTACTGTATTTATTTATTATATCTACCATTTCGTCTCCATCTCACCAGCTGACAAATGTATACAGAACATCTACCAAGACCTCTGTCTTAACCAGAAGCGTGCCAAAGAATACCGAGGTATTCTCTGCAGCCTTTTGATACAGAACCAGATGCCAATAGAAGACATCAAAGCCAGCATAACTGAGATGATGGCAGGAGGGGTGGACACGGTAAGGAGAGACCTTGACAGATTCTTCAGATGTCCCCTTCAAATGGTTGCTTTGATTCTATTCAACATTTTAAGAAACTCTTTGAGGAATTGGTGATCTTTGCATTCTGCTGGTCATTAAAACCATTCAGAACATTCCTCTGTTCACTGAGGGTTTCCTTAATCCCATATCTCTCTCTCCAGCCACTTCAAACATATCTCCCCCTCTGTCTGATCTAAATTGAAGAGATGGCCACTCTACCTTGATAAGTTGGTGGACCTAAAACATTAAGGTCCAGAGATACACCAGTCCACCTAGAAACGTCAAAACTTGTAGATTAAGGCAAGGGTTTCCAAACTTGGCAACTTGTAAGACTTGTGGACTTCAACTTCCAGGATTCCCCAGCCAGTCCACAAGGTTGGAGACCCATGCACTAAAGGAAGCACTTTTTGCAGGGGTGGCTGAGAAGACCCACCTAAGAACACACCCATGGCCCGATATTATGTATTTTCATTCAGACTTCCATCACCCTCCAGTGGGCTCTGTATGAACTCGCTCGCGCGCCACAACTTCAGGACCAACTGAGATCTGAAATCTCTGCAGCCAAAGCATCTTCCCAGGGAGATGTTGCAAAGATGATGAAGTCCACCCCGTTGCTCAAAGCAACCATCAAAGAAACACTAAGGTACAAAATGTTAAAAAAAAAATATATATTTCCTGTGGGTCAACTCCTGATGTTTGAATGTGCTACACAGTTCTACATGGGGCTACTTTCAAGACAGGTGTCAGCCTTGGAAGTCATATTTTATTTAGAAGCTTTGACGCTGCCACAGTTAGTGCCTGGGAATTTGGGAGGGGGGATTTCATAGAGAGGTGGAAGATTAGACTCAACAACATTCTTCCTTAGAAGTCAAGGACATATTACCCTGCACCTGGAGAAGAGTGTTTAAAGGAATGTCTCCAGCTGGGACGGTGTTTGATTGGACCATGTGATGGACTGGTGACTGCAGGGGATGGATTTTTGGCTTGCTATTGGTAAGAGAAAACCCGGAACTCTCAGATTCGGATTTTCCCTTCCCAATAGAAATTCAAAGATCCATCCCCTGCACCCATCATCCCATCACATGGCCCAATCAAATTGTCGTCTCAACTGGAGCCATTCCTCCAGACACTCCTCTCCAGGTGCAGGGTAACATGTCCTTGATTTCTAAGAAAGAATGTTGTTGCGTCTAATCGTCTATTCACTAAGAAATCTCCCCTCCCAAATCCTCACACACTGAATGGGGCAGCCATCTAATTAAAATATGGCTTCCATATGGCTGACTTTGGTAAGGAAAGGCCTTGGAAATACGTCCCAAAGAGTCGCATGTTGTCTAGTAGTTTGTAATCGTTGTTGAATCCTATGTTGGTCTCCTTGGGCTGGAAAAATAATTTTTCGATGATCAATGTCTCTCTTCTTCCTCTGACTTCACTCCAGGCTCCATCCAGTTGCAGTGACGTTGCAGAGATACACAACCCAAGAGATTGTGCTCCAGAATTACCGTATCCCTGCCAATGTGAGTAATCTGGTAGCGAGGATGATTGGGTTTTTTTTTAACGAATTTCAAACCCTGCCTTTTCTCCAAAGTTCTGAAGTTGGTGAAGGTAGTCATTCCTTTCAGATCACACAAGGAGCATCCCACATTTGAACTGGAGCAGCAGATTATTCCATATTTACATGAAAATATATATATTGGTTTGAGACCATCTTCCCACTGGTGACTTGTATTGTCTTCTAGCATCACCTAACCTATTGTGGTGATAAACCTTGTCATTATTAGTACCATGCTGGCTAAAAGATGGTTGAAGACACCTAAAAGTTGCCAGAAATCTGTCAGCCTGGGACGCCATTTTTTTACTTGGAAGCTTCAAAACTGCCACATTCAGTGCCTGGGAATTTGGGAAAGAGGGGTTTCATAGTGGAGTAAAAGATTAGACACAACAACATTCTTTCTCAGAGAGTCAAGGACAGGTTGCCCTGCACCTGGAGGGAGTGACTGGAGGAATGTCTCTGATGATTTGATTGGGCCTTGTGATGGACCGATAGGTGCAGAGGATGGATCGTTGATTTCTCTTTTGGGTAGGGAAAACCCAGAACTCTCAGATTTAAGTTTTCCTAGATGTGCCAATATGACAACTCTAATAAAACGGAACTTTGAGGAACTGTTTGTTTTGGAGTTTATTGGTTTGGAGTTGATTAGTTGGAACGTTGACATTGTCATTCTTGCTGATGCTATTTTAAATCTTGTTTAGATAAAACTCATAAATCCTAATTTATCTTTTTTTTTCCCCCGTCCCATCTTTTCTTCACAGATATTAGTCCAGGTAGGACTTTATGCCATGTTTCGGGATTCCAGGTTTTTCTCCAAACCTCTGCAGTTCAACCCAGAAAGGTGGATTAAGACCGAAGACTCCAAATATTTCAGAGGATTAAGTTTTGGCTTTGGGCCACGTCAGTGTCTTGGCCGCAGAATTGCCGAGTTGGAGATGCAGCTGTTTTTGATCCATGTAAGTCCAGTTCTGCCACCAACTCATCATGGAAGGCAGGCTGGAGAAATATGGAGAGGGTGGACTGGTATATATCTATATATGGTATTCAGCTTTGTTCGGGTATTTTCCCACGTCATTATAGTTGTGCTTTTAAAGTTGTAGCAACGTTTCGGCAGAATCTCATCTGTCATCATCAGGCTTCTGTATTGTGTTCCTCTTGTGTCTACCCTTGTCATC